GTAGGAGAGTTACCTGTGTAAAAGACACCTGGGAGCCAGAAATCTGTCTGATTGAGAGGGGGTCAAATAGTTATTTCCCCCATTAAAATGCAAATCAATTTATAACATTTTTGGCGTGCGTTTTTCTGGATTTTTGTTGTTGTTATTCTGGCTCTCACTGTTCAAATAAACCTACCATTAAAATTATAGACCGATCATTGCTTCGTCGGTCGGCAAACGTACAAAATCAGCAGGGGATCAAATACTTTTTTTCCCCCACAGGATAAATCCGATCTTCTCAGAGTTGTGTACTCAACACAAATCTTCTGCTGTGACTGTTCCACCTGAAGACGGAAGCTTGTGATGCCTCCGAAACGTCGTGATTTAACTGTTTTATTTTACCTACGTGATTTTACCGAACAAAATCAAAGAGTATGAGTTCTCAATGGAGACGATGATGTACATATTGCCATCGCTTCGAGTGGCTTCTGAGACACTGGGTAGTGAGACACTGGGTAGTGAGACACTGCTAGTGAGACACTGGGTAGTGAGACACTGGGTGGTGAGACACTGGTTAGTGAGACACTGGGTGGTGAGACACTGGGTAGTGAGACACTGGGTGGTGAGACACTGGGTAGTGAGACACTGCTAGTGAGACACTGGGTAGTGAGACACTGGGTAGTGAGACACTGGGTAGTGAGACACTGGGTAGTGAGACACTGGGTAGTGAGACACTGGGTAGTGAGACACTGCTAGTGAGACACTGGGTGGTGAGACACTGGGTAGTGAGACACTGGGTAGTGAGACACTGCTAGTGAGACACTGGGTAGTGAGACACTGCTAATGAGACACTGGTAGTGAGACACTGGGTAGTGAGACACTGCTAGTGAGACACGGGTAGTGAGACACTGGGTAGTGAGACACTGGGTAGTGAGACAAGGGGTAGTGAGACACTGGGTAGTGAGACACTGGGTAGTGAGACACTGGGTAGTGAGACACTGGTAGCGAGACACTGGGTAGTGAGACACTGCTAGTGAGACACTGCTAGTGAGACACTGGGTAGTGAGACACTGGGTAGTGAGACACTGGGTGGTGAGACACTGGGTAGTGAGACACTGGGTGGTGAGACACTGGGTAGTGAGACACTGGGTAGTGAGACACTGGTGGTGAGACACTGGGTGGTGAGACACTGGGTAGTGAGACACTGGGTAGTGAGACACTGCTAGTGAGACACTGCTAGTGAGACACTGGGTAGTGAGACACTGGGTAGTCCGACACTGCTAGTAAGACACTGGGTAGTGAGACACTGCTAGTGAGACACTGCTAGTAAGACACTGCTAGTGAGACACTGCTAGTGAGACACTGGGTAGTAAGACACTGGGTAGTGAGACACTGGGTAGTGAGACACTGCTAGTGAGACACTTGGTAGTGAGACACTGGGTAGTGAGACACTGGGTAGTGAGACACTGCTAGTAAGACACTGGGTAGTGAGACACTGCTAGTGAGACACTGGGTAGTGAGACACTGGTAGTGAGACACTGCTAGTGAGACACTGGGTAGTGAGACACTGGGTAGTTAGACACTGGGTAGTGAGACACTGGTAGTGAGACACTGCTAGTAAGACACTGGGTAGTGAGACACTGGGTAGTGAGACACTGGGTAGTGAGACACTGCTAGTGAGACACTGGGTAGTGAGACACTGGGTAGTGAGACACTGCTAGTGAGACACAGGGTAGTGAGACACTGGTAGTGAGACACTGGGTAGTGAGACACTGGGTAGTAAGACACTGGGTAGTGAGACACTGCTAGTGAGACACTGGTAGTGAGACACTGGGTAGTGAGACACTGGGTAGTGAGACACTACTAGTGAGACACTGGGTAGTGAGACACTGGGTAGTGAGACACTGGGTAGTGAGACACTGGGTAGTGAGACAGTGCTAGTGAGACACTGGGTAGTGAGACACTGCTAGTGAGACACTGGGTAGTGAGACACTGGGTAGTGAGACACTGGGTGGTGAGACACAGGGTAGTGAGACACTGGGTGGTGAGACACTGGGTAGTGAGACACTGGGTAGTGAGACACTGGGTAGTGAGACACTGCTAGTGAGACACTGGGTGGTGAGACACTGGGTAGTGAGACACTGGGTAGTGAGACACTGGGTGGTGAGACACTGGGTAGTGAGACACTGCTAATGAGACACTGCTCGTGAGACACTAGGTAGTGAGACACTGGGTAGTGAGACACTGGGTAGTGAGACACTGGGTGGTGAGACACTGGGTAGTGAGACACTGGGTAGTGAGACACTGCTAGTGAGACACGGGTAGTGAGACACTGGGTAGTGATACACTGGGTAGTGAGACACTGGGTAGTGAGACACTGGGTAGTGAGACACTGGGTAGTGAGACAGTGCTAGTGAGACACTGGGTAGTGAGACACTGGGTAGTGAGACACTGCTAGTGAGACACTGGGTGGTGAGACACTGGGTGGTGAGACACTGGGTAGTGAGACACTGCTAGTGAGACACTGGGTGGTGAGACACTGGGTGGTGAGACATTGGGTAGTGAGACACTGGGTAGTGAGACACTGGGTAGTGAGACACTGGTGGTGAGACACTGGGTAGTGAGACACTGGGTAGTGAGACACTGCTAGTGAGACACTGGGTAGTGAGACACTGCTAGTGAGACACTGCTAGTGAGACACTGCTAGCGAGACACTGGGTAGTGAGACACTGGGTAGTGAGATACTGTGTGGTGAGACACTGGGTAGTGAGACACTGCTAGTGAGACACTGGGTAGTGAGACACTGGGTAGTGAGACACTGGGTAATGAGACACTGCTAGTGAGACACTGGGTAGTGAGACACTGGGTAGTGATACACTGGGTAGTGAGACACTGGGTAGTGAGACACGGGTAGTGAGACATTGGGTAGTGAGACATTGGGTAGTGAGACACTGCTAGTGAGACACTGGGTAGTGAGACACTGCTAGTGAGACACTGGTGGTGAGACACTGGGTAGTGAGACACTGAGTAGTGAGACACTTCTAGTGAGACACTGCTAGTGAGACACTGGGTAGTGAGACACTGGGTAGTGAGACACTGCTAGAAAGACACTGCTAGTGAGACACTGGGTAGTGAGACACGGGTAGTGAGACACTGGGTAGTGAGACACTGGGTAGTGAGACACTGGGTGGTGAGACACTGCTAGTGAGACACTGAGTAGTGAGACACTGGGTAGTGAGACACGGGTAGTGAGACATTGGGTAGTGAGACATTGGGTAGTGAGACACTGCTAGTGAGACACTTGGTAGTGAGACACTGCAAGTGAGACACTGGGTAGTGAGACACTGGGTGGTGAGACACTGCTAGTGAGACACTGGGTAGTGAGACACTGGGTAGTGAGACACGGGTAGTGAGACATTGGGTAGTGAGACATTGGGTAGTGAGACACTGCTAGTGAGACACTTGGTAGTGAGACACTGCAAGTGAGACACTGGGTAGTGAGACACTGGGTGGTGAGACACTGCTAGTGAGACACTGGGTAGTGAGACACTGGGTAGTGAGACACTGCTAGTGAGACACTGGGTAGTGAGACACTGGGTAGTGAGACACTGGGTAGTGAGACAATGCTAGTAGGCCAATCAGTTTCAAAGACAATGCCATGTCACATTACATTAACATAAAAGAGAATGCATAACATGATGATTAAAGTAGCTGTTAGCACCACCACCACAAGTAGCTGTTACCACCACTAGTACCACCACCACCAGTACCACCACCACCAATTACCACCATGACCACCACCACCACCACTCCCACCAACAACCACCACTATTAACACCACCAACACCACAACCACCAACACCACTACTACCAACTACCACCACCATCAACACCACCACTCCCACCAACTACCACCACCATCAACACCACCACCACCGCTCCCACCAACTACCACCAACACCAATTACCACCATGACCACCACCACCACCACCACGACTACCACTACCACCACTACCACCAACACCACCACCACGACTACCACCAACACCACTACCACCACCCCCACCACGACTAGCACCACCACCCACTACCACCACCACTACCACCACCACCCACTACCACCACTACCACCACCACTCCCACCACCCACTACCACCACCCCCACCACGACTACCACCAACACCACCACCACCACCACTCCCACCACCACCCACTACCACCACCACCCCCACCACGACTACCACCACCACCCACCACCACGACTAGCACCACCACGACTAGCACCACCACCAACTACCACCACCACTACCACCACGACTACCACCCCCACCACTTCCACCACCCCCACCACGACTACCACCACCACCCCCACCACAACTACCACCACCACCCACCACCACTACCACCACCACAACCACCACCTCCACCACCACCACCACCCACTACCACCACCACTACCACCACCCCCACCACGACTACCACCCCCACCACGACTACCACCAACACCACCACCACCACTCCCACCACCACCCACTCCCACCACCACCCACTCCCACCACCACCCCCACCACGACTACCACCACCACCACCACCACCACTCCCACCACCACCCACTCCCACCACCACCCCCACCACGACTACCACCACCACCCACCACCACGACTAGCACCACCACCAACTACCACCAACACCACCACCACCATCACTCCCACCACTACCACCACCCCCACCACGACTAGCACCACCACCCACTACCACCACCACTACCACCACCACCCCACCACGACTACTACCACCACCCACCACCACCAACACCACCACCACTACCACCACTACCACCACCACCACCACCACCCCCACCACCCACCACCACCCCCACCACGACTACCACCACCACCCACCACCACGACTAGCACCACCACCCACTACCACCACCACTCCCACCACCCACTACCACCACTCCCACCACCCACTACCACTACCACCACCCCCACCCACTACCACCCCCACCACCACTCACCCGCTGCGTACGATGCGCCGTGGTCTCTCAACGAGCCCAGCGAGCAGCTCCCAGGCCCTAGGGCCGAGCACGGAGTCCCCGGGCCGAAGGGCGCCCGCACCGGTCCGTACTGGAACCCCCCTGCCTGGCTACACGAGCCGAAGTCGGTATAGGATCCAGGCAAGGCCGAGGCTTCCATGCCCGCCATGCAGGACTCGTAGGCGGACGCGTTGAGGTAGGGGTAGTCCATGGCTGCCCGGCCTGGGCGAGGTCGCCGCGCGGTCCCTGCAGGCAGGGGGAGAAGGTCGCCTGAGTTGGAGGACTCCCGGTAGGGTCGTCGAGTCGCGGGTGTGAGGCCTATGAGGGCCCGGGGCTCTGTGGGCCTATCGGGTATTGAATACAGGCCCATAGGCCTAGCCTATAGGACCCAGGCCTTTAGGCTAGGCCTATAGGCCTAGCCTATAGGACCCAGGCCTATAGGCCTATGTATTCTATAGGCCTGGCCTATAGAATACATAGGCCTATAGGCCTAGCCTATAGGCTTGGCCTATAGGACCCAGACCTATAGGCCTATAGAATATATAGGACTATAGGCCTATAGAATCCAGACCTATAGAATATATAGGCCTGGCCTATAGAATCCAGGCCTATAGGCCTAGCCTATATCATCCAGACCTATAGGCCTAGCCTATAGAATCCAGGCCTATAGAATATATAGGCCTATAGAATCCAGGCCTATATGCCTAGCCTATAGAATCCAGGCCTATAGAATATATAGGCCTGGCCTATAGAATCCAAGCCTATAGGCCTATAGATTCTATAGGCCTATATAATATCCAGGCCTATAAGCCTAGCCTATACGACCCAGACCTATAGGCCTATAGAATATATAGGCCTGGCCTATAAAATACAGGCCTGTAGGCCTAGCCTATAAAATCCAGGCCTATAGGCCTAGCCTATAGAATCCAGGCCTATAGGCCTATAGAATATATAGGCCTGGCTTATAGAATCCAAGCCTATAGGCCTATAGATTCTATAGGCCTATATAATATCCAGGCCTATAAGCCTAGCCTATACGACCCAGACCTATAGGCCTATAGAATATATAGGCCTGGCCTATAAAATACAGGCCTGTAGGCCTAGCCTATAGAATCCAGGCCTATAGGCCTATATAACATATAGGCCTGGCCTATAGAATCCAGGCCTGTAGGCCTAGCCTATCGGACCCAGGCCTATAGGCCAATAGATTATATAGGCCTATAGAATATATAGGCCTATATATTCTATAGGCCTATATATTCTATATGCCTGTAAAATCTATAGGCCTTTAGAATCCAGACCTATAGGCCAATAGGATATATAGGCTTGGCCTATAGAATCCAGGCCTATAGGCCTAGACTATACGACCCAGAAACTAGTCCTAGTTTCTATAGGCCTATAGATTCTATAGGACTGGCCTGTAGACCCTGGCCTATAGACTCGGGCTTTGTATACCAAATAACTGGCTTCTAAAGACGTGGACTATATACATTTGGTTTATATAGATCTGGGTTAAGTAGAACTGGGTTATGTAGAACTGGGTTGTGTAGATCTGGGATATGTAGATCTGGGATAAGTAGAACTGGGTTTTGTAGATCTGGGTTATGTAGATCTGGGTTTTGTAGAACTGGGTTATGTAGATCTGGGATATGTAGATCTGGGATATGTAGAACTGGGTTATGTAGATCTGGGTTATGTAGAACTGGGTTATGTAGATCTGGGTTATGTAGATCTGGGTTATGTAGAATTGGGTTATGTAGATCTGGGTTATGTAGAACTGGGTTATGTAGATCTGGGTTATGTAGATCTGGGTTATGTAGATCTGGTTTATGTAGATCTGGGTTATGTAGAACTGGGTTATGTAGATGTGGGTTATGTAGAACTGGGGTATGTAGATCTGGGTTATGTAGATCTGGGTTATGTAGATCTGGGTTATGTATAACTGGGTTATGTAGAACTGGGTTATGTAGAACTGGGTTATGTAGATCTGGGTTAAGTAGAACTGGATTATGTAGATCTGGGTTAAGTAGATCTGGGTTATGTAGAACTGGGTTATGTAGATCTGGGTTATGTAGAACTGGGTTATGTAGAACTGGGTTATGTAGAACTGGGTTATGTAGATCTGGGTTAAGTAGAACTGGGTTATGTAGAACTGGGTTAGGTAGATCCGGGTTATGTAGAACTGGGTTATGTAGATCTGGGTTATGTAGATCTGGGTTATGTAGAACTGGGTTATGTAGATCTGGGTTATGTAGAACTGGGTTATGTAGATCTGGGTTATGTAGATCTGGGTTATGTAGAACTGGGTTATGTGGAACTGGGTTATGTAGATCTGGGTTATGTAGAACTGGGTTATGTAGATCTGGGTTATGTAGATCTGGGTTATGTAGATCTGGGTTATATTAATCGGGGTTATGTAGATCTGGGTTATGTAGATCTGGGTTATGTAGAACTGGGTTATCTAGATCTGGGTTATGTAGAACTGGGTTATGTAGAACTGGGTTGTGTAGATCTGGGTTATGTAGATCTGGGTTATGTAGAACTGGGTTATGTAGAACTGGGTTATGTAGATCTGGGTTATGTAGAACTGGGTTATGTAGATCTGGGTTATATTAATCGGGGTTATGTAGATCTGGGTTATGTAGATCTGGGTTATGTAGAACTGGGTTAAGTAGAACTGGGTTATGTAGAACTGGGTTATGTAGATCTGGGTTATGTAGATCTGGGTAATGTAGATCTGGGTTATGTAGATCTGGGTTATGTAGATCTGGGTTATATAGATCTGGGTTATGTAGATCTGGGTTATGTAGAACTGGGTTATGTAGATCTGGGTTATGTAGATCTGGGTAATGTAGATCTGGGTTATGTAGAACTGGGTTATGTAGATCTGGGTTATATATATCTGGGTTATGTAGATCTGGGTTATGTAGAACTGGGTTATGTAGAACTGGGTTATGTAGATCTGGGTTATGTAGATCTGGGTTATGTGGATCTGGGTTATGTAGAACTGGGTTATGTAGATCTGGGTTATATAGATCTGGGTTATGTGGATCTGGGTTATGTAGAACTGGGTTATGTAGATCTGGGTTATGTAGAACTGGGTTATGTAGATCTGGGTTATATTAATCGGGGTTATGTAGATCTGGGTTATGTAGAACTGGGTTATGTAGAACTGGGTTATGTAGAACTGGGTTATGTAGAACTGTTTTTTTTTACGGGCAGAGCTATTTGGATGTAGGGGGCACTCACAGAGCCATCGAATGGATTTGTCTGCAGGTGTCTATAGAGTCCATCATAAGACAAAGCTCCCCCGTGTAGCCTCTAACAGGGCTACTGGGGGCAAGTGCTGTTAGTGTAGCAGCAGCAGGCTACCCATGAAGGCTACCGGCACTGTGGCACACGCATAGGGGGTGAGTGCCCGGCCGCCTTTGTCTCCCCCAGTAGCTACTCATTTGTGGCGGAGTCTACCTTTCGGGGTGACCCAGGACCTGTCACTGATGGTGTTGAACGGGATTCGTAGCGTGCTAACCGTTGCGCCACCGCTCCCCACACATTCTCACACACACACACACGTGTACAATATGTACACGTGTGTGTGTGTACATATTGTACACGCACACGCGCGCGTATGTGCATACATAGACACACATTCGCCTATATATACACACGCATATGTACACGCACATATGCACACGCACACGAATCAAAACGTATGCACATAATGAAGACAAAGATTCCCCGTTTAGCCTCTTAACAGATTGTAGGGGCAAGTGCTGTAAGCGAGCACCAGACACACACACATATATAGACACACACACACATATATAGACACACAGACACACACACATACAGATAAACATAGACACACACACATAGATGTATAGACACACAGACACACACACACACAGACACACATATATACATACAAAGACACACACATACATCCAGATACATAGACACACACATATAGACACACAGACACACAGATGTAGACACACAGACACACACACATATAGACACACACACACACAGATGTAGACACACAGACACACACAGATATAGACACACAGACACACACATATATAGACACACAGACACACACACACACATATATAGACACACAGACACATACAGATGTAGACACACAGACACATACAGATGTAGACACACACGGATATAGACACACAGACACACACACACATATATAGACACACACACACGCAGATGTAGACACCCACACACATATATAGACACACAAACACACATATATAAATACAGACGCACACACATATATATATAGACACACATACAGATGTAGACACACAGACACACACATATATAGACACACACACATATAGACACACAAACACACAGATGTAGACACACAGACAGATAGACACACACAGACACACACAGACACACACAGATAGACAGACACACACAGACACACACAGATACACACAGATGCACACAGACACACACAGACAGACACAGAGACAGATAGACACACACAGACAGAGAGAGATAGACACACACAGACAGAGAGACACACACAGACACACAGACAGACACACGCACATAGACGCACACATGGACAGACAGAGAGACAAGACGGAGTGAGAAAGAGACAGACGGGGACAGAGAGACAGATAGGGAGAGAAAGACAGATAGGGAGAGAGAGAGACGGGGAGAGACAAAGAGAGACAGAGAGAGAGAGACGGACAAAGAGAGACAAAGAGAGACGGAGAGAGAGAGACGGGGAGAGACAAAGAGAGACAGAGAGAGAGACGGACACACACACATATAGATACACAGACACACACAGATGTGGACACCCACACACATATGTAGACACACAAACACATATATAAACACACAGACACACGCACATATATAGACACACAGACACACACACACACCTATATAGACACACAGACACACACATATATAGACACACACAGACATATAGACACACAAACACAAACATATATAAACACACAGACACACACACACACATATATATAGACACACAGACACATACAGATGTAGACACACAGACACACACACACATATAGATACACAGACACCCACACACATATATAGACACACAGACACACACATACTTATAAATACACAGATACACAGATGTAGACACACAGATATACACATATATAGACACACACAGACAGACACAGATACAAAGACACACAGACACACAGATATACATAGACACACAAAAAAAACAA